GGGCCCCTAAGGATACCAGCCTTGCAGCTGACTGGGCTACCCTGGCAAAATAAAGTTGTCTTGTCTTGTCTTGTCTTGTCCCAGAGATGCACCCTCAGTTCAAGATATTGAGACTGCACTAAATAAAAAAGACTAGGAAAATATTACAAATGTGTTTGAATTATCAGTATTTACTACAAATATGATAGATCTGTCAAAAACCTGAGTCACACTGACAAGAACAAGTAATAGAGGAGCAAGGCTTCCACAAATAACTTTCTTTTCTAGCTGCTGCGGAAATCCTCGATGAAAACAATTATGACGATTGCTTGAGGGTCTTCCAAACTACGACTACGACGAACAGTATTTAAGATGATATGTTTACATCTGCATGCTAGACAGTTTGCAAAATAATCAATTGTCTAAACTGTTTCTTTAGAGAGATTCAGAGTTCTTTCGAAATACAACAAGTACAAGGAAAGATCCCTAGTAGACAGCTTTGTGCCGGAAAGGCGTTATCAATAAAAACAACAGGTGTACCCAGGTGTACAACACGTGAAAACGCGTTTTTTCTCAGCGAAATATTCTCTCCTGACAACGAAATTTTGGCGTGGATTTGTATAGCGAGCTATGGTAACCACGAATGTCCTCAACTAGGAATCAGAGTTTGAACTTAGAAGAATTCTCAATCTTCTCTCTCTCTCTCTCTTCTCTTGAGAAATGTTACAGTCATGAAGCAGATTAAGAGAGAGGCCATATTCTGTTCATTAGATTCCATTACTTTATTATTGTGTCAACCACTTCAGTCTTTGTTTACTTGGCTTGGCAAGCTGTTCAACTTGTCATCTCCAAAACGCTCGATACCCAGAAGGAGACGAAACCAAATGAACATGTCTATAACCCAGCCATGATGGATTGCGCTTGAAGACTACGCTCTTGAGTGCTGAGCGTTGACGCAGCAGCCAGCAATTCACCACACCTTGCAGAAAAATGTTGAAAAAAAATTAAAATACTATAATTGATAAACAACGTGAATAATAAAATTATATTTCCTATACGCCTAATTACTTTCGTTTCTGCAAAGTGTTCCCCATTTGTCGAAGCACGAGGAGAAAATTGCAATCTTCCACTCTTTTGAACAAATTTCACTGCCCAGTTCTAGAAAAAACTAGTTACAATGTTGGAAGCAAAAGAAAATAGGCTTCAAGAGATTATGAACTGTTTCTCAGCCTTGGCCTTTACCAGGAAATGTACATAGGCTGAGTTGTACATAACAAACTTACTGATTGTCATATTACTGACGGGCAAAATCAGTATTACCCTGCGTGATATCTTAGAGACCAATCCGAGGAAAAAGGCAAACGCTTTAATTTAATTTCCTTATGACCCGTGCACGTACCGAATTGATTAGATAAAAGATATCCTATCTGTTAATGAACCTAAGTAGTAAGTCCATCCTTTATAAGAAAAATAAATATATTACCTGTCTTGTTCTTGAATTTCGGAGTCTACAGTTTTGGACAACCCCTCCATCTCTTTGGCAAACGATTCAATCTGTTTTCAAGCCGAAAGAAAAGTGGGATATTTTTTAAGCTAATAAATAACCATTAAATGCTTTCTAACGGAATAAAATAAATGTTTTTAGAAACTACATACAAAAATAACACTGTAGGACGTCAAGTTTGTGTAACATTAACAGATTTAAAATAAAAAAGAACTGTAGCTACGAGAAAGAATTAAATTAGATGCTGAGAGTTAAGAGTTCGAGATGGATCTAACAGAACTTAGATATTAGATTTTCACGGGTTTCCCCTTTGCCACGATGGCAGTGATGGAAAAAGATCAAAAGCTTTTTCAGAAAGTAAGTCATACTGGAGTGTTTAAAGTTATCCTAGAATTATCTATCTATGCTCTGTGATTGGTCTAGAAAACTCTTGCCACCCTCTCAACCAATCAGACGCAAAACTAAAAACCAAGCGCGACTTTGTCTCTCGCGTTTTCCCGCGCTTCATGTAGATTGCTAAATTTACTTTGAGTTCTCATCAGTTGGCTCCTGGTAACTTCTCACTTGTTCTATTTGCTTGTCATGATTACTTTGGTTTCGGTTTTACGACACTTGGTCACAGGTAGTTTCACAGGAAGTCTACTAAACATTATCCAGGGCTTACCTTTTGTTGTTTGTCTTTGGAAAGTGAGTCAATTTCGCCGAGTAATCTTTCGCTTTCGTCAAGAACAGTTAATAGCTGATCTGGAGAGAAGGAAAATAAAGAAGGAAGTTAGATAATAAAAGCGCAGAAAAAAATTCAGTGGACTTAGGTTAAAACAGGCGCCAGTTCAAAAATAAAAGCGAGGACACCATCGCGTCTTGGTCAGAGGCGTTCTTCTTGGGTAAGGGTCAGTTTTTTTTCGTTCGCGTTGTCAGTGTTCCATGGGCTCCTGTCGCCTGGTGTATGTTATCAAATCTAAAATCTTATTTCTATTTACGGATGTGAGTCTTACCGTGATTATCGGGAAGAAGCACTCCGTTGACTGACATGTGATGCCGGGTAGTATCCAGAGCAGCGGCTAACTTACTGAAGTCTAGTATTAGCCTCACCATGTTGGACCCAATGGGCTCAAGTCCTGACATCTGTGAATCATCAACCAAACCATTTCGCGAATCATTAACTGCGCTCCCACCTAACAGTGTCAGTTATCCCCGCTTTGAAGACGACTCGGGATGGGTCAGATATCTCGGTATTTGTTTGCCTTCCCGCAAAATATATCTCCAGGGTTTCATCAGTAAAAGCTCTTGGCAAATAAAACAGGGAAGCAACTTTGCACCTAGCAAGCAAGGATTCCTGCGGAATTTTTTACCTCTCGCGTTTCAACTGGCAAGAAGTACTGTGACCAACTTAGAGACTTACCTGAAGCTTTATTTGTTCATTAAGTTCGGCAATTTTCGTTTTCATTTTCAGCTGTAACTCTAGATTAGCTATCTCGCGTTGAAGTTTCTCTTTTTCCTGCCACACATGGTAAATTTGACTCTAAATAAACAGAATGTTGAAATTCATTAATACCTACTATGAGAATAGACTCGCCTCTTTCTTGCTGGAAAACTAAAGCGACTGTTGTCGAATCAAATATCATTTTTGCATAACTCTTTCACCAATCAAGAATAGACACCAAGCTGATAATACCTGTGCATCTTTTTCTTTTTGTCCAAAGGAATGTTTCAGCTGCAAGAAAACCAACAATTTCAACCAAGAATCAACGACGAAAAGATATCACCGACACAACTGAAACATGGCAAACTTATTGTATTTAGTGCTCACTTAATTGTTACGTTAGTGACTCGCGCACTCTGTTTTGTGTTTGATTGTTACGTTAGTGACTCGCACACTCTGTTTTGTGTTTGATTGTTACGTTAGTGACTCGCGCACTCTGTTTTGTGTTCGATTGTTACGCTAGGGACTCGCGCACTCTGTTTTGCGTTTGATTGTTGGATTAGTGGCTCGCGCACTCTGTTTTGTGTTGACTGTTAGGTTAGATACTCGCGTACTCTGTTTTGTGTTTGGTGGTTACGTTAGTGACTCGCGCACTCAGTTTTGTGTTTGATTGTTACGTTAGTGATTCGCGCACTCTGTTTTGTGTTTATTTATTACGTTAGTGACTCGCGCACTCTGTTTTGTGTCTGATTGTTACGTTTGTTACTCGCCCCTCTGTTTTGTGTTTAATTGTTACGTTAGTGACTCGCGCACTCTGTTTTATGTTTGATTGTTACGCTAGGGACTCGCACACTCTGTTTTGCGTTTGATTTTTGGGTTAGTGGGTCGCCCACTCTGTTTTTCGTTTGATTTTTGGGTCAGTGGCTTGCACACTCTGTTTTGCGTATGATTGTTGGGTTAGTGGCTCGCGCACTCTGTTTTGTATTTGATTGTTGGGTTAGTGACTTGCGAACTTTGTTTTGTGTTTGATTGTAACGTTAGTGACTCGCACACTCTGTTTTGTGTTTGATTGTGACGTTAGTGGCTCGTGCACTCTAATTTGTGTTTGATTGTAACGTTAGTGACTCGCACACTCTGTTTTGTGTTTGATTGTGACGTTAGTGGCTCGTGCACTCTATTTTGTGTTTAATTGTTGCGTTAGTGACTCGCGCATTCTGTTTTGTGTTTGATTGTAACGTTAGTGGCTCGCGCACTCTGTTTTGTGTTTTATCGTTACGTTATTCACTCGCACACTTTGTGTGGTTTTCGATTGTTAAGTTGGTGAACTGCGTATTCTTTTTGTGTTTGATCGTCACGTTAGTGACACGCACACTCTGTTTTGTGTTTGATTGTATTATTAGTGTCTCGCACACTTTGTTTTGTGTTTGATTGTAAAGTCAGTGACTCGCACCACCTATTTTGTGGTTGATTCTTTCTCCAGAATGTTACTCGTCGTGGCCGACTACTATGTCGGGTTATGAGTTTATTTGTCCAGAAATCGGCTGGTTCCTTTGCTTTCTTGGTAGCGTTTTCTCGTTACATCTTACCAGACGCTGTAAAAAGGGAAGGTTTCTTTCTCCTTTATATAACTTCTCTTGCAAACGTTTAGTAATCGTTGTTTCCGTTTAGGTAAGCGTAGAATGGTTCAAATCTCAGCCTTTTTGAACGGCAGTGCTTGTTCTCTCAGTTTTGTTTCGTTTTTTAACTCTCTCTGTTCGATTTGTGCGAGTCACTAACCTAACAATCAAACACAAAACAGAGTGTGCGATTCACTAACGGAACATTTAAACACAAAACAGAGGGCGCGAGTCACTAACGTAACAATTAAACACAAAACAGAGTGCGCGAGTCACTAACGTAACAATCAAACACAAGACTGAGTGCGCTAGTCGCTAACCTAACAGTCAAACACGAAACAGAGTGTGCGAGTCGCTAACCTAACAATCAAACACAAAACAGAGTGCGCGAGTCACTAACGTAACAATCAAACACAAAACAGAGTGCGCGAGTCACTAACCTAACAGGTTAACGTAACAATCAAACAGAAAAAAAAATGTGCGAGTCATCAACGTAATAAACAAACACAAACGAAATGCTTGAGTCCCACAAAACATTATGTACGATTCACTAACGTAACAATAAAAAAAAAAGTCACTGAAGAAAGAAAAAAACGCAAAACAGATTGCGTGATTCACTAACTTCGTAACAATCAAACACGAAAAAGAGTGCACGAGTCACTTACGTGACAATCAAAGTGTGCGAGTTATTAACGTAACAATCAAACAAAGAAAAAGAATGCACGATTCACTAAAGACAGAAGCAACCATAAGACAGATTGGGTGGGTCACCAACCAAACGCTTTAACACGGAACAGAGTGTGCAAGTCTCTAACGTAACAATCAAGCACAAAACGGGGTACACAAATCACCTCCGGAAATAAAGTATAAATTACAAAACAGAGTGTGCGAGTCGGAAAAGTAACAATTAAACAAAAATGATGTATATGATTCACTAATGAAACAATAGGCGCTAGTATGTGCGATTCTCTGACGCAAAAACTTTCGGATTACATAAGTGCGCGGGTCACTGAAAACTGCATGTAACTGAGAAAAAAAATCTTGGAAACGAAACACAAGCACGGACATTAATAACAGCTACTTCAAAATCTTACCCTCGAGTACAGAAAAGAGGCTTGTACAACTCTTGAATACTGAAGTTCAAGCTGACGTTGCGAGATGTCACCTTCACCTGCTGAAGTTCCCACAGGTCCGGTCTGCAAACAAAGTTTGAAAATTTGTTCGGAATTTTTAAATTACAGCACAATTCCATTCATGTTCCTGCACGATCCAACAGAATAAAAACCCCAGGCGGGCATTGTGATTTAACTGGCTGCCACTTAGTAAGTGAGAGAAATGATGGCAGCCGCAAAATAACAGGGCGCAGAATGGCGGAGGAAGTGAAGGGTAAGGAACAAGAATGGAATAGTAAGAGGGAATCTAGGAAAGTTGGTGCCAATCAGGAAAAGTGAGAGAGTCTGAATGAAGCCCTTTCCGCTGAGGCGATAGTGATGACGACAGAGGACCCAATATTAAACATTGAGGAAAAATATTAAAATTCAGATCAATACTGACGCACCTCGGTTGGAACAGAAGGCTTGCTGGTTTGCAAAGAGGGTTGATATGAACCTGCCGACAGATTAGAGGGGAAATTTCATTTTAGATGAGAACTATTAATAGTAACTGTACTGTTATTATTTTATAAATACTTTCTCAGAATAGTGGGCACCCTGATAAACTAGTCCTCCTTCACCCACTACCATAGGTGAATATTTCTTTTAGCAGGTTTTAATTGGCCAACCCAGGATTGGCAATGTAATATAATGTAATATTCTTCCAAGCAGCTAAATTGAAACAAAATGACAACCTGGTTCTCTTTGGATACCAAAACAGAAAATATTTGGATAGACAAAGCAACTGCTTTGGACAATAATTAAATAAGGCAACTCAACAAGGCTAATTTGTTATTTGAAGGTAAGTTCCTCATAAGTTAACAATGTGCCTTGACCTTTAAGAGAACATTTTGTACCTACAGATAACTTTTATTTTTTCTTTACCTGCCATCTTAACCCCAGCTTTCTTGACTACAATAGGTTGCTGCTTTTGCTTGTCACGAGAAACTGAAGTCTTCTTGACAGCATAAGTACCTCCACTCCCCCCATGTTGTTTTGCAAATGTTGCTACACCCTGGGGCAAAATGGGGGTGGGTGCTCCCATGTGAACAGCAGGGTCAACCCCTGCCATGGCATCAGCTGGAGTTGATGTGACTATGCCTTTTTGATTGGACGTGTGTCTGATGAAGGGTGTGATGACATCAAGGCCAAGTGTGCTGTTGTTGGAGTGAGTAAGAACTGACTGGTCTCTTGATTTTGATGATGTTGCAGAGGGCACTCTGACTTTTTTCTTTGTGGGTGGAGGTGCCTCCTGTCAGCATATAACATAAAGTAAGAAACATAATATTTATCATGAGTAACTTCCCAAAAGATCAAAAAAAGATAAACAATAAAATTTTACAGATAACAGGGTTTTCATTTAGAAATTTAGTAACAGGAGAGTGATCCACAGTTGACAACATTAATCACTGAGCCACCAGATTGAAATCTGCCCCATAACATTACTGAAAAGAGGTAAAAATTACTTTTAGTGCCATTTTTTCAAATCGAAAGTCAAAAGAAATCCAATATTACCAAGGTTTTGCCTTACTTTACCCTATAATTGGTCAAAAAAACTTGTGGCCCTCTCTAAAACAATCAGATACAAAACTAAAACCAATCACTACTTAGTCACATGTGTTTCCTGCACTTTGGGCTGTTTGCTTGGTTTTAGTTTACTTCTCATTGGTCCTCAGGGATAATATCCTTTGAGAAGTTGTGATAAATTTAGTTTTTGTTTTACAACAATCAATAAAAAAACAACCTTAAGTGTATTTTCAAGTTAAAATTGGCCAGCAAGAAGCAATTGTCCAGGTTCAAGATGCACACAGCTTAGAGTAAACTTTTTACCTTCACTGCTACCTTTTTAGTGACTTTTGTTCCAGCAGCCATGTATCTGGAAGGGACAATGCGAGCTAAAAGAAAGCAAATGTGAAACCATTTGTTGTATACAAATGCATTAAGGAAAATTCTACTGTAATATGCCCCAGGGAGCTCATTAATTCCCAGCTCTTTCAGACAGGGGGCTAATTAGAATAGTGGATAGCTCACTGTAATACTTCAATCATCTTCTGAATTGTTACCAATATCTAATGGAAACCATATTGAAATACTAAAATATTTCAATTATCTTCTGAATTGTTATCAGTATCTAGTGAAAAAAATACACAGTAAAGTACTTCCTTGGTTGAAAACCTACAATTATCCTAATGAAAGTCTTTCAAATACAAGACTGGTAAACAATAATGTTTGTACTGCAATATTAATGCTAGCTATCCAATTTAGCAAAATAATAGTATTTCTGTAAGGAGAAGGTGTTAATATTGGGGCATTTTTAGAAAATATCAGTTCAAAACCAGCTACTCATGCTAAAACTTGAAGTAATAACAAGGAGAATTTGTTTATCAGTCAACAGTTTTCTTTAGTTGGTGGTCATTTCCTTTATTGTTATAACCTTAGTGGGTGATTTAGAGGGTGATACTTTAAAGAGTTATTAGATGTAGGTCAAAGTTAGGGGTCAAAGGGTTAAATTAGACAACAGAGTGTAGTTTCATACATGTGCCAACATAAATTACCAGTTTTTTGTTTCTTTTTCTTTGTTTTCAAATTCTGTTTTTCTCCTGCAGGTAAACTACAATAAAAGTAGAAAAGATGTCAATAATTTTATTATTCAAAATTGCACTATTCAAATGTCATTTTGGATCAACAAACATTATCCTGTTAAAGCACTCTATTAAATCACCATAAATATAAATGACATCTTATGTTTTAAAGCATCATTTGTATTTCAGGCATTTATTGGTCAAAATTCTATCAATTTACTGCACCAATTAACACACTCCCTAACAACTCACTGGCGTAATATACCACCTGACATGTTGGCAGAACACATAAAAAAAGCTTTTAAATCCTAAGCTGAAACTGAGGAATTTACATGTGTTTACATGTAACATTTCTCATCTTTGCCCAACATTTATAACCTAAGATTAGTCATGAATCCAGCCATTAAACTGTAACAATTTTTACTTACACAGACTGGTCACCATCTGGTGCTTGGAAATAGGAATCTGAAACTGAGGAGTGTGGTACACAATCATGACCACATGTTTTCTCATTTTTTACAATGCATCATTATGCAATGTTACAACTAAGTCAGCTTGAGTACAGAATATTGTTTAGACCTTCATCAAGCAGATGCTTGTGGGATAGAACTGCTCCTTTTGAAGTGTCCTTATCTTCTTAAAAGGGGTGTGGGGTGAATGTGGGTGCAGCTTTCCCTTAGTTTGGGGAACAAAAAGGGGGACTAGCTGGTGTTCATTTACAAAAGGATGTACGTTCTATATTCAATCTACTTGTTCTTATAGAAAGTTTCACTGTGATTCAACTTTCAAATTTTCAAGTGCTTTAGGGAGATGTGGAGAAAGGGTAAATCAGAGAAATCATCACTATCTTTTAAAGTAAGTCAGAACAAGTATCTTTACCTGATGAGAAATCAAAAAGTTGTTGCTTTATCTGAGGTGTAGATAAGTGAGATGATGGAGGTGCAGCATACAAACCATCCTCCCCTAAAAAACTTTTAAACTCCTCTCCAGGTCTACCAATCTGTTGTTGTTCCAATCTAGGTTCAACAGCTTCTCTCTCATGGTCCAACAAGGTTTCTTCATGGGATCTTCTATGTACTTGGGTATTGAACAAAAAAAAAATTCATTTTTGTAACTAACAATATCATCATACATCACATAGTAGTTGAAATAGATAGTTTACAATTGAATATTTTACGAATCAATACTCCTTCCAGTAGTTTTAACGATCATGATGACTGAGTTTCATGTGACACTTTCGACTTAAATTCACCAAAAAGACAACCACTGATATTAACTGGAAGAATATTCATTGAAAATATTCTCTTTTTTTTTTTTTTTCCATTTTCACTGGGTCATAAGTGCTTTTACCACTCCAACTAAAACTCTGAGTCCAAATCCATTGCCAGTGAAAACAAGCCTTTAGAGAACCTTTCATGCAGTTTATTGTTCCAAGAGTTGAAAAGCTTTGAAGAATTTTACTCTGTGGCTAATAAGAAGACAACATAACTGAGGTTTGAGTAACATTAACCAAAACTTTACCTGGACTACTGTGAGGTAAATCTTTCTTTCTTGCACTGGATTCAAGAAGATTAACTTTTGGTATACCAGCTACTTTAACTTTCCTTCCTTCTTCTAAACTGCCAGTAACATCAGTTAAGTTGTCTGATCTTTGAATAATAACTGAGTTTTCTAACATGCTTCTGTCTCTTCCAAAATGTCGAGGAGAATGGCACACAACTCTCACTGGAGACTTAACAATTCCTGTAACAACTGGTACTTCAGCAAGATCAGGGCTCTTATGCTGTCCACTTGCATCCACCAAAAGAACAGGTGAGGTTTGTTTTGATTCTCTCTCTTCAACATATGTTGGGTCAGGGACATGCCTGGGATTTAACCACAACAAAAAGTTGAGAATGCAAAAACATTATTTTAAATTGTCAAACAGCCATTTTCATAAAGCCTCCCTACAATCTGACCTTAAATCTTAGGGAGTCTTTCTTCAAAACAAAGAGAACTCAAGACAAAGAGTGATGCACCCCACTAAAATGTCTCCTTTGAAGAGCCTCCCTCCTTTTGCCCCTCAGTGGAATGTTATTGTAAGATCATTGTTATTTGAAATCTAATGTATATACTCAAGCTTGTGTTTAGATCAGGGATGGAAAAGTAAACATGAAATTGAAGTGATTTGCTCAGTAGTTTGATATAAGTGAATTAAGTTTTTACTATATTCCCGAATAGGCTTTCCTAAACTTCTAAAATACCTTAAGCTTAGGCTTTCATCCTATTTAAGTGAGAGCCTTGGATTTTTGTACAGTATTTAACCCTTAAACTCCCAGAGGAGATCAGCATGCATGTCAATTCTCACAATTTCACTTTATTAGCCAAAACTACAAAAACAGACGAACTCGCCCACTGAAAAATAGTGTTATCCTGATAAAACAACACATATAACTCTTTCAAATTACATACAATAAATACGCAGAAGCTAGAGGGGGAAATGAACACAAATATGTAGGGAGTTTAAGGGTTTTGATCACTCAAAGACAGCGATTTTAGATATGATCTGCAGCGACAACGATATAGTTAAGAAGAGCTTAATAGTTTCCTTTACATCAAGAAAAGTTCTCATACAAAAGAAAGAGATTGAAACTTCTTGAATATTTAAACCAATCTATTAAATAACATAAGCTTACGTCGAAAAAGGTATAGTAGATCTCGATGCACTTGATGGAAAACCAGTGACAGGCTCTGTATTAAGAAAACCTTGGGCGAGCGATTTCCTGTGGAAAAAATCACAACAAACACGCAATTTCCACGCGTTAAAATAAAGAAATCACAAACTTAAGACAAAATATAGGAATTAGTTAAGACATTCAGTACCTTATCTGCGGTGGAGGCGTTTGCGAAGGCGCTGGATTGTACAAAGATCGCTTCGAATTCGCCGCCATCTTTAATATTAGCCCAAAACAAATCTCGCGCTCATTCGTACCCAGTCCCCTTTCACTAAACGACTCTATGTCGTCGTAGGAGAATAATTTCTCAGTCTATCCTGGTCAAATTAGTCAAATTACTGAGTTGGCTCGGAAATATTGAAGTGCTTACCAGTGAATTAGCAGAGGTTAAAATGACCTAACCACAAGAAAGAAAATGTTTCCAGAAACATGTACCTTGTTTTTAAAGAAAATTGAATGCATAGCAAGTCCCTAAATGGTAGACCTCTTCTTCCCATCCTGGTACGATAGTCTTACTTGCTTGGAAAAGATGGCCCTATCCAATTTACAGTGGGATTTTTCTCGAATGTGTTAAATTTTTTGCTGTAATCTTTTTTTTAGCAATTTAGTAATGGGGGGGGGGGGGGATAGCTTTAGAGAGGACTCACATCCCATCAAGAGGAGGGAAATAGTAATACTCTTCATTGCTTCATCTTATGAAAGCTGGGATAAGCTTCAGCTGAGTGGATCACTTGACTCAAGTACATAAACTTTCATTGACAACAGTTAAATGGCAAGATATTTGTTCTGTATTTCTTTGGGTTTCTATAAACCTCAACTTTGTCTCACCAACCAGTAGAGTAACATCACTTACCCTGTTCCCACCATTTTGACCCATGATCCACTTATATTCTCTGTGGTAGATACATACCAAGATCCTCCATACTAAGAGGAAGTTGCCTATGTGCACGCTACATTTGGATCCAATAGGAACAAGATTTCCTACCATAACTGAAAGAAGTTTCCTGATCTTCTTGCACACTTTACTGTATTGTGGTTTTCACTGAGCCTGGGTGCAAATTATGGACTCTAGGATGAAACCTCTATAATAAATACACAAGCCCAAATGGCAGATTTGGTTAATATGTTTATTTACTATCATGATAGTTTTATGGCCATATTTATTTCAAATGTACCTAACTGCATAGGTCTCCACCCACATGCAAAAGTAGGAAATAGAAAATGAAAAACTTGGGTGGTGATTATCAGAGAGAAAACAAGATTTTCTTGCCTTCCCTGAAGTGAGATTTTAGTTAATTGACATAGGTTAGTCAGGACTGCATTGGCTTTTCTGTTTCCACACTGAGCTTGATGAAAAAAATCTGCATCACCCTCTCAGCCAATAGAATGTAAAAAAAAAAAATTTATTTGGTCACCTGCATTTCAATTGCTTACAACCATCTACTTGTATCTATTTTGAATTCTCAATAACATTTACAATAACTTTGCTATTTTTCATAAGAAGTTTCTCTTTTGTTCTGATTGCTTGCTGAGAGTAATTTAGTTTTGATTGTTTTCAGTAGAAGAGTGTTCTATGAGTGCTCTATATGAACTTCCCTACTTGGTGAGAGATCAAGGCAAAAGGAATGACTACTCTTGATACCATCAGTTAACTCAGGTAGACAAATATCCACAAAAAATATAGCGTACATTCATTTAAAAGGTTTTAAATCATCCATCCTCTTCATCTGCTTTTTTATTTGTTACAGAGCAATGTGAGAAGTCCACTGAATTTAAGTGAGGATTCTGCTTCCTTGCTAAAACCAGGACAACAAAGGAAAATGAGAAAATCTCTTCATCCTTTTGGACATATGTAATTTGAACAAACACAGAAAAACCAAACACCTCTCCTTCTGAGTGTGACTGAAAAATTAGTGAGGTAATTGAATTGCCAGTGTGAAATTACATTCACTTTTTCATAATCTGAATGACATCGTCATCATTCATAGTATGATTGATTCCTACACGCTGTGGGCTATATTTGGTGCTGGTACCCCATACTAAAGCATATTTAAACATATCTACTAGTGTTCTGTGAACAGCATGGCACACATGTTCCACAGTAGCTCCACGCCGAAGGATCAGTCCTCCATTAAAGTCAGGTGGATCACCTCTCTTCTTGGTGTAGATTCTGAGCAGTGCAAGATGTTCCCAAACCTGGGTCAACAGGTAATCCAAGTTTAGCTCCATCTCACAGCTAACAACAACAGAATGTGGAAGGCGTGCCAACCGATCAACTTCTTCTATAGAAATACAGTCAATCTTGTTGTAAACATAAACACATGGCAGGTAGATTCGGTTAGCGCAAATGACATCAATCAGCTGATCTGCTGTGCAATCTTCTCGTATAAGCACCTCTGCATTGAAGATCTTGTATTCGTGGAGAATCATCATTACAAGCTTCTCATCCAGATGGGTGAGAGAACATGTGGAGTTAAAAGAAATACCACCTCCTTTCTTTTGTTTGAAGTAAAGATTTGGCTTGGAACAGTTAAGCCGAATGCCACAGTCCTCCAATTCCTTTTCCAGTAAAACCTTCTGGATCTCCCCCTTAGCAGCATCTAACATCATCACGACCATGTCTGCAGTGCGAGCAACAGCAATAACTTGTTTACCCCTTCCCTTACCCTGAGAGGCACCCTCTATAATTCCAGGTAAGTCGAGCAGTTGAATATTAGCCCCATTGTATTCTATCACACCAGGAATACATGTCAGAGTTGTGAACTCGTAAGAAGCACTAACGCTGGTTGTGGATGTTAACTTGTTTAACAATGTCGATTTTCCTACCGAAGGAAAACCGATCAAGGCGACTCTGGCATCGCCGGATTTCATGACATCGAAGCCCTCACCCTTACCTCCTCCCGCGGATTTCGAAGGTTCTAATAGTTGCGATCGGTATTTTGCCAATTTCGCCTTCAGCAATCCCAGATGATACTCTGTTGCCTTATTCTTTTGAGTTCTTGCGATCTCCTTCTCTATCTCGCTTATTTTCTCTAGGATTCCCATTCTGGATGCTGGTTAAATGTTTGTCCACGTTGCGTATACTGGATCTCTGTTCTTCAAACAAAATGGCGATAAACGAGTCCGCGAAAAATTGCCAGCAGGCTTTTGAAAGATATATGCGCGTAGCTTGCATAAGAACTGCGCAGGAAAGCGCGCGAAATCAGCTAAAAACAGCTCACCTATCATGTGGTGGTAGATTTTTTCCTCAGTTCGGTAGTTTTCGCCAGATTTGGCGTAAGATATTTATATATTTTTTTCTAAAATCCTTGAAAGTGCTTTCGTCCAGCTGATATGGGTGAAGACGGCCCCTCGGATGACTACGATCCAAATGGAGATCCCAAGGACGATCCCCGGGAAAGAAGGCGAATCCGTCACGAATATCGTGAACTGATCGCCGAGACTCAAAGTAAGCACAGTGCCGTCCTCCTGTTTTTATGCGTATAACTTTACACGTGTCAACGAAAACTGGGATATTATAGACTGTTTTCCTTTTTTGCAAAGAATGATTTGGGACGATCGTCAACATGCACGAATCGTCTGAACGTTTTCTTAAACATCCCCCAAGAACGACTAGCATCAAATTTCTCCCAACCGTATCAGCCCTGAATCAAACTTTAAAAAAAAAAGAGAATAAAGGAAAAGGTCACGGCTGAGAGAGGCTTTTGATTGTCAGATGATGTTACTATAGGAAATGTTTAGATAATAGTAAGGAGAATATGCATGTTTATGTTAGGATGTTAAGGGTTGAGTTTATTTTGAATGAGGCCTTTTACCTTCTTTAATCAACAGAAAATAGACATAATTTTATCAAACCAGAATCAACTGGCTTACATGAATCACTTGATAAAGCTGAAGGGTTATTTAAGAACGGTAAGATCTTTATAATATGTTAGACAAACCTTTGTGGGATTTTATGTCAGGATATAGTGGGGGGGGGGGGGGGGGGTTAGTTCAGGGAGAATGTGAGTAGGGGTTAGGCAGAGTTACCTTCTCTCTGCTTCCAGGCACATCTCCTTCTATAATATGGCTTAGCATGAAACAAAACTGGGTAAAGTGGAACAAGATACTGTAAATATCAACAGGAGGCTTTATCTATGGCTCTTACAAAGTGAAAGTGATAGATAAGTATTTCAATAAGGAACTGAGATCTGGAAACTTGGGTGATAATATGTGAAAAGAAAATTTAGCTTTTATCAATTAAATCAAAAATAGCAGAGCAATACAACTAATTTTTCATTTTTTGCATCATCCCATTTTGGAACACAGAGCGGGAAATGAATATGTCTCCTTTGTTGATCTGGGGTCTCCTCTAAGTGAGCTTTTATTCTTAAAGAATTTGGTCTTCAAATGAGTATTAATCAGTTGTTGGGAATTTTCCTCAGCCACCCATACCAGAGAGGCTGTTCTGGATGCACATTTTCTAGTCTTAGCATCAAACCTTGGAAGTCAACAGGCTCAGCAGTTGCAAACACACTTGGTAACATTTGATGCAGATGTTTTTGTTGAGAAATTGGTAAGTTATAAATAAATTAAAGTTCATTTCCACATTGGGTTGGAAGAATCATTGTTGTTCATGTCTTTTATGTAACTTTTTCCCATTTGAAAATAAACATCCCCTCTTTAAAATATATTAAAGTTCACAAGGTAACCAGGTGGACAATCAGACTTGGTTTGATGTTACTCTGGTTTACAGATTTAATGAATGTAACCAAAGAAGTTACAATTCACAGACCCAACATTTCGACAATATAAATTCAGCTTTATCAGAGCACGCATGCCTAACGAACCATAAAATTGGGTGGGACAAGTCTAAGAATTCTCACCACTAATCGGCATTACCACCAGTGCCTTTGTTTGGAAGCTTGGCATATTAACTCCGCCCACGCTCCTTTAGATTGTGATGATGGCGTCTTACTTCCTGATGCCTATTTACACCTTGTTAGAAAAAAAGGCAGCCAATTAGTGATCATATAAAAGGATCTCTTGTTTCAGTGTTTAGATCACCCCTGATGAAGGCACTAGACAGGAGTGTTGAAACGTTGGGTCTATGAATTATAACTTCTTCAGTTACATTCATTAAATCTGTAAACCAGAGTAGCATCAAACCATGTCTGGTACCCTTCTTTGTTGAATGTTGTTAGTAATACACTTGGAAGTAATCAAACTCTGTGTTTGACTTTGTCTTGTTCGTCTTCACACCCAAATCCTCCTTAGTTCCATTCTAACTTACTGCTGCAGCCACAGCTAGGAAATAATTATCTTAAATTTGCCTGAAAATGTTATTTGATTGCTGTTTTAGAATTATTTTCTTGATCTTTTCTTTTTAACCGAGAAAGTTGTTAATCACTTTCAAAACATCCATACATTGTACCGCTGTCAGTAACTTTTTTAGGGGATTTGTCAGTCAATGCATTGGTGTCATGTTGGTTCAAAGGTTGTTATTTTGTCAGGCAGTGGGTAATGGTTGCTTACAGACAGTTATGCTTTATTTTTATCAGCCTGTAAACTTGAAAGAGATCTCATTTACTTATTTCTCACAGTTTTTTATGTCAACTCTCAGTCCTCAATTCCTTGTTTTCATAGAACCTTTACAGCGACTAGTTCATCCTCTGCCATGAAATAAAAAAATTTTTAAAAAAAAGCCAAAAAGTTATAAATTTTATCCTTTTTATCAGATAACTTTTATGGGAGGGAGAAGTGTTTCCGATATGACTGGAGGAGATAATGAGGATGAAGAGATGGCTGGTGGGAGGCACCAACCCCCACCTCACCTTGACTGGAAGAAACTTGGTAGAAAAGCCAGTGTAGCGTTTAGGAGAACTCCAAATGTTGACTTTATGTATGTTCAGCCTTGCAATGATACCATTTGATTCTGAATTATTCTGACTTCTCTTTCAGTTGAGATAGGTATACACTGTTATAAATTCAAGAGACTGACTCAGTGTTTGATCTCATTTTCATACACTTAATTATATGAATTAAAAGTTTAGCACACATAGGATTACTTTAAGAGAGTTTCAGAGAAATAATGTGATTCAAGACTGAATTCAGTTTTTTTTGTGTGTCTTCCTAGTATGTAACAATCTAGGTGTTTTGATAACAGCAAGAGAGAAATTTATTTCCAAGTGGGTTTTTAACTCAAAGGTTGCTTGGCAATTAAGATAATTTTGAAATCAGTTTTCATGCAATCCTATCAAAGATGTCAAAGATGCATTCACAGCTTTCTTGTCCATGTTGATGTAATGGTGGTCTTCGATGATCATGTTTCATTTCAGGTTTGGTCCATTATCCATGGAACCTCCTGTAAAAGTGCGGAGAGATAGAAATGCTGTGAAAAAAACTGAAAAACCTGATGCTAATCAGTTAGTCAAACCAAAACAGGTAAAACTATTTTTTAGAAAACTTTTCAGTTTTATTGATGTATTTGTTTTACTTAAAGTTACACACAGTTGAAAATGATGACTCTGCTTGCTTCCTTCTGTACAAAAATGTATCTGAACTTTGTGTCATGTCATGTCACAGGTATGACATGAGCAACTTGTGCAGACAGTAAAGAGTCAGCAAACAAGTTTTCTAAATTGTGAAATGAGAGTATATAATAAACATTTTAAGAAAATAAACAAGATGATTTGAATGGTAGTGTAATACTTTTTTTTGCCTACATTCTTGCATTTAATTTTACTGTTCAAATTTCAGGAATGAAAAGTAATAATTCTACAGGAGTACAAAATTTTGTTTTTTAACAGTTTAGACTTAAATGTTCTCATTTTGTTCTTTCTATCAGTTGGAGAAGGTAGAAACCAAAGAGGAAGCAACGACTAAAGAAGTAGACAGACTACATAGCATCCTTTATGATAACACAGGTATATAATTATATAAAAATTATGTCTAGCCTTTCTGCAATTATCCTCTTTTGCTGTTAAACAGTTTCTTTAGTAATAATTTAGAGAACTTGGAGTAATTTGAAGAATTCACTCTTAAGCTAATAATTTTCTTTATTTTCATTACCTGTATGCCACAAACAAAAGTCCAAATTTCTGTCTCTCTTTATCATCTACAATGAACCTGCATTCACCAGCTGCTGGCAAAAGAGAGCACTTGCATGAGTTGCTTAACCCTTTAACTCCCAGATCAAATTTGTAATTCTCCTTACTGTCAACCATACAATTTTTGTAATGTTAGTTCAGAGAATTTAGTATTGGATCAACAAATTATCCCCAAATTAATATTTTTCTTTATAATTTCTCATTATTTATCTGGTTGATATTCTATTGATATTGTAAGGAGAAATTCTGTGTTGGTCACCCATGGGAGTTAAAGAATTAAGAGCAAATTATCAAACTCATTCAACCACCCTTCTTTATTGTGGAAGAGTTGTGACATTTTTAAGTTAAAAAAAAGAATATTTTCACTTGAAAATGGAACTCAAACCTTTTATTAGGCTTTCTGCTTGAAACAGATTCCTCACAAGTGCTTGATTTTGGTGTCCTCTTCTACTCAATGAGAGGTGTCTGCTGAATCCTGGCTCATTATATAGTGAGGCAAAAGAGTGCACTTTCTATTGGTTAATAGTTGTAATAATACATGCAAGGTGTTGGTAGAACACAGGAAAAGTTTTTGTGGACAATCGTTTCAAATGTTCTCCCAACATCCCTAAAGGGTTTTTACCTTAGCCTGGTAAATGGATAGAAAGTGCAGTTGATTACTTATATATATTAAAATTCAATTTTCAATGGGTTTACCAGTACAATAAATGATGGATTTTGACCAAACAGGGAGCTTGTATAGTATCTATTTTTTAAATGGGAAAATAAAAGACCTGGGTTGTATCAGTATAATATTCATAATAATATTCAGTCTTCTTAATACTAGTTTCCTTGTCATTTCATTACTAACCAGTTGCTTAATTTCTTGTTTCATAGTTTCTGAGGAAGGTGAAGAGTGTGAATTAACTCCAGTGTCTCTGTTCAACTTTATCATCAACCCTAATTCATTCGGGCAAACAATTGAGAATCTTTTCCACTTGTCTTTTCTAGTTAGGGTAAGTTGTACTTTGAATATAAAATGTTATTAGCAATTACTCTTACCTACTGACTGCCAACAGATCTTTTTAGCAGTAATAATTAGATAGTTGAATATGAATACTAATTGGCTGAGAGCTTAAAAAGCATAGTACTCCAAAGTGAGTGCAGATGAGCAATGGCTCAGTCTACAGATAATTTTCTTGAGCATGAATAGATCTGTAACTGTTTAATCATCCTTGCTAATCATGTTTTGTATCTCACATACTTGATTTCAAGTCTATTTTCATGCCTTTAGGATGGTCGAGCAGACATAAGTCTTGACGATCATGGACTACCAGTTGTATGTAAGTGTTCATGTACATGTTTTTATAAAATATTTCAGGTAGTACGTGCACCCTTATGGGTTGGGTCTGCTAACAAGGTTGTGACATCTTGCTTTCTGGGTTGCCAGAATTATTTTTGAGAATTATTTACAAAAGGAACTGAGGACTTTTTCCACATTTACACAACCTCATCTAATCACTGGGGGGTTGTCGCAACATGGTAGTCATATTTAATTACACTGTAATCTAGTAGATATGGTTTTGTTTTCTTTGTTTGTTTTATTATATTTATATTTACATTTTCTCATTGAATTGGTAGCATACTCAGAAATGCCTGGTGAAGATGAACAGATGGGAAAGCAGCAAGTTGTTGTTCATCTCACTTTGAAAGAGTATAAGGTGAATCAAATAAAAACATTGGCATGCTATGCATGCAAGAGTTATTATTTTGGATGGGACATTAAGTCACGTAACTGATGTTTACCTTTTTGTAAAAGAAAAAGATTCCATTTTCTTTCAAAAGATTCCAGAGAAATTATCACTCAGTGGTGAGCAAAAAAAAAACCTTCCAATATATCTGAAATAAAATCAGGCACTTGAATTACATGGTCTATTACCATTGGTGTCTGAATAATTGTTAGC